CCATTCATTTAGAGTTTCTGATTTGCTTGATTTGATCCTTTAAATATAGGCTAGTATAAGGTTTTTGATTATGCTTTGCGTATGCTTTATGTAATGCAATGCGAATTGATTTTGTTGATCAAACAAAAATTTTGCTCAACAAAATGTGTAGTAGTGATACAAATGCCAGATGTACAAATGTGAGGCCAGATGAACGAGTGTGAGGCCAGATGTACAAATGTGAGGCTTTTCATAAAATACTCATTATCAACAATTGATAAGGGTTTATCTGTTTGAAGAACAAAGTTAAACAAAGATCTCTCTATATATCTATATTTCTGCAAACTTGAACAATATAGTGAGAGTTGCAAATGCAGCTTTGATAAATACATGACCAGTTGTTAAACATGTAAGTTTAGAATATTTGATAAATACAATAGTTACTATACAAAATGATTTGTCATTGAGCTGGTATTTTTATTGTATTAAGCTCTTTTTTGCAAATTTCATTTGTTAAAGTATCTTTATATTTACACGTTGTTATTGTAGTTATTTTACAAAATAATTCCAGACTTTAGTTGAATGAAATTTTTTATTTGACATTTTGTTTCTACCATAAAAAATAAAATTAAATCTAAATTTATATTAGAAATAAGTCAAATGAGTAGCATAAAATAGCTCTTCATTGTTCTTTGTTTTGTCTTTTTTACATTTAGCAGCTCGGCTTTTAAGTGCATTCAACAAGAATTCTTTTATGCTGAAATAATTTATGAAGGGATTAATGTGTGTATCAATCATTATTATTAATAGTCCAGAGGAAATTTTTTCAATCATTAATAATGTATGAAGAGAGTTACCAATCATTAAAAATGTTCATCATTACATAATATTGATATTAATTAAATATTAGAATACTTATAGAATTTCAATTGAATTTATTGATAAAAATTTCTGAAAGTTTTAAATTTCTACATCTTTTTTTCACAACAACTAAAGCAAAAAGTTTCCAAGGCTTAATTTTTGTGGCATAGCAAGGTATAAGGTATCAAGGGGCAGATTTGGTTGAACTTTTATGTTTTAATTAACTTGTAATTTTAGGGTGGCAGATTTATAAAAATTCTCATTATTTTTGCGTCTTTTAACAAATTGTTTTAAAAAGAATGAGTTACTATAATGAGGAAAAGAAAACATGAAGTGGTGCTACATACAGTAAAAACGAAGTGGTGCTTTATACAGTAAAGTAAAAGTTAAGTCAATGTGATATTTTGTTGAATTACAAAACCTGCTATGAGTAATATTGTTTTGTATGGCTCAATCTTTATAAATATTTTATTGTTATAAGATAATCTATATATATTTATTAAAAAGATATAAAAGGTCATAAAAAATTAAAAATTGATAAAGTTGAGTCAAGTCTAAAGAGATAACGATGTAAGAAAGTAATTAAATCACTTTTTAGTTGATTAGAAGGAAACCCGTAGTTGATTAAATCTACTATTCAATTTTTCTACTATTTAAGTCAACTAATTTCAACTTACAACTAGTCGACTTTAGGTCAATTTAGTCAAAGTCAATACAACACTAATTATTTTACTTTGCTACTCTTTCCTTCATATTGTTCAATATTGAATTATTTGCTATATACATATATATATATATATATATATATATATATATATATATATATATGTATATATATATATATATAATATATATATATATATATATATATATATATATATATATATAAGCACAGTGCATTGTTATAATTATTCTAGACCCCTGCAATGTAGATAGTACCATGCTTAACTTCTTTCACCACACAGTGGCCTTGATTGTCAAGGTTTATGTTTTGAAGTTAAAGAGTTAATAGAGCAACCAACTAATTATTAAATAAATTGGTAATGATTATGAACTGAGTTTCTATGATGATTTATTTTCAATTTACACGGAAAAAACTATGATTTTATTAGAAATATTACCTTTTTTTTTTAAAAATCTAAATATATGTTTTTTTCAAAAAAGTAGAAATAACAAAGATTATTAAAAAAATTTATCACTTTCTCAACCCAAGCACTCAGTCAATGTAAAAATAACTCCTTTGCATGTTCTCCTTATATCAGTCAATGTATGTACTGAAGCCCTAACAGCTTACTATTTCAGTATGATATCAGATCTTAAGTGTGGCCCATTTAAGTGTGGTTTTCAGTTTTTTCTTCTTTTTCCAAACAAACTATATGGAATTTGGTAAGGAAAAAATTTCTATTATCTAAAATTTTAAGGCCTCTAAACCCATTTAAAACAGAAAAATTTATTAATGTTATTTAGGTTGAGTTGTGTTTTAGTTACATAAACAAAAATAGTAAAAAAAAGCATCTAACGCATTTAAAATAAAGTATTGCTTTAATAAGTATTATGTAATCAATAATAAAAAAAAAAAAGCAAAAAAATGTTTATTTATTACTACTTTTTGTGAGCATCTAAAAGTTTGTTATTGAAGACTTTTTTAAACGTTTTTATATTTTAAAATAAACTCAATAAGTTCAAATGACCAGTATAAGAATTTCATTAAAAACCATATTTAAAAAATTGAAAAAAAATACAACAAAGTGCTATAGAGATTTATTAGTTTTTAAAAAGCTGTTTAAATTTTTAGTTTTATATTTTCAATTAAAAACTTTTAAAAATCTGTTTAATTTTTAGCTTTTAAAAAATAAAATTTAACCTAGGTGAAATTCTAAAAATGTAAAAATTTTTAATATGCAATACAGTTGATTCCTAATAACTCAAACCTCAAAAATGACCAAGATAAATGGTTCAACTAAACAAATGTTCATTTAAAGCGAATTCCTTTAAAGTGGAAATTTCGCTGATATGATATATTAGTTCATGTGAAGGCCATTTTTCTTTATTCAATACTAAAGCATATACATTAAATTTACACCATTATACTAATGTTTCAATAAAAGCCATAATGGATTGTATTCATTCAGTGAAAACATTCAAAAAAGTTTAGTGACTTCCTTATTATTTGGTAATAAAATTGCATCTAAAAGGTTGCATTCCTTTATTTAGAAATTTATTCAACTGTAAAATAATTATTTTTTCAAAGGTTACCTTTTAACAGTTATATTAAATTAATAATTTAAGTGACATCATTTTTTATAAAATGCAATAAAAGTTAGCTTGTTTACATTTGAATTACATAACACAAAAACAATTTTAAAATTATCAAACTTATTTGTTCCAGTTTTAATTACAAAAGTCTTTCTTATAATTAGTCGCTTTCTTGTTTGAATATATATAGGGCATCCCATACTTTTCAAAAAACAACTTTTTTTTATAATTAACATATGGCCCTTGGTATTTTTTTGCTTGAAAATATATAAGTTTAAGATCTATTAAAATAAAGCTACTATTAATGTCTTTATTTGCAAAAACTGATTTATTACTATATTTTCTTGACCTAAAAGTTATTGAAGCATAAATACATTTTTATGCGGAAGCAATAACAAAGCGTATAAACTTCTTGATAAAATTAAACTTTTTACATTTCACAGCAGTTTTTCATAGGAAATTTTTAAACAAAATGTTCTTAAAGTTCGATACTTTTTTATATTATATTTTTTGTATTTCGCTTTTGTATTTTCATTTATTTCAACCCACCAATATTATATAGTCGAAGTAAAAGAGATAATTTACATTGAGTGGTATAAAAACATTGAAAAAAGATTAAGCACAAAAATGTCTGATTTAATAGGTATACAATTTTTGACAATATAATTGCTTTATTTTAAAATTATATCTGATTTTATTAATATAATATTATTTTATTAATATTATGAATATTAAGTAATGAATAATATATTTTCTTCTAAAACACTGACATTGAAAACAATAACATTGAAAAATATTATTTTTAAAATTTTATAATCTAATATATTTAAAATTAATATCATTAATTGTTTGTTACTAATCTTAATATAATATAATCTTAATATAACTAATCAATATAATGTTAATATAATGCTATTATATAACAATTATAATAACAATAATAATAATAATAATAATATTATTATTATTATTATATATTATTTAATGTTAAAACTTTATCTTAAGGAAAAGGAAGAGACTTTATTCCATCTGAGCTATGAGCTCTTGGTGCTGTTCTTCATAAAGTTATACTCATTAAAGAGTTGTCAGAAAAGAAAGTATATCCATTAGATAATCTGGTTAGAAAAGAAAGTATATCCATTAGATGATCTGGTTAGAAAAGAAAGTATATCCATTAGATGATTTGGTTAGGGAAAAAAGATTGGAAGTTGTTAAGCAATGGAAAAAAGCAGACAAACTTTTCATCTCGAGTTATTTTTACAGAAAAGTCAATTGCCAGATAGATCAAAAGTTTATAATGATGTTCAAGATATTTGCAGAAAAAGATTAACCAAAAAAATAGAAATTGAAAAAATAATGAAGTCTATGTCAAGACTGTTTAATATAACTAACCGCAAATGTGTAATTTTATTCTGTAAAGAATGAAGTTATCTGGGATGTGAAAAAAAAGTTCATATTGGCTGTAAATATGAAAAGTTAGTAAGGATTCCTATAATAGAATTAGAATTCATTCACTAGCAGAGAAAAAAAGAAGCAGTCTCAAATTTATGATAGGATTAAAAGACTACATAGAGAATAAAAAGAAGCAAAAGGCAATTGAGCGATGTAGTAAGTAGGAACAGAATTTGCAAAAGTTCACGGAAAAGAAGATGATAAATAGTAGCCATTTGAAAAAAACCTATGCTGAGGTTTTAACTGAATCTTCTAGTTACACTGAACATATTTATTAAATGTAATTAATGGTTTCAAAGTAAAGCGAAGTTATATGAAGATTCAAAATACTGCTATTGCTGCAATTTATATATAAATATATATATATATATATATTATATAAGTTTCAAGATATAAAGTTTCAAACACTGCTGCTGCTTTTTAAAAAATTTGATGGAGGCTAAAGTTGATCCAGAATCAGCTCTTTTTTTATTACTGAACAAAAACAAAGTGTATAGAGCCAAAGATAAAGTTATGTTAGATTGTCAGGTTTTTGCAGAGAATAGATTAGAGTCTGAAGATGTTTCTTGTATTCTTTTTGATGAAAGATATTTCAATGGTCTATTTTGCATGGCGTTGAATATAGTTAAAAGTTCATTAGATGTGATAGCATAGCTACAAATGCAGGTCATAATGGAGGTGTTATTGATTGTTTAGAGGTTAAATTAGAAAGAAAATTAGGGTGGCTAATATATTCTCTTCACACAAACAAAATTTGCTTTTGGCATTTAATAGAAACGCTTGGCTGACCAAAAAACTAGGCGCTATAGTCTATTCAATACAGGCTCTTCCTTACTTTTATTGTGAGTATGCAAGCATGGGTTAGAGACAGATGACATGAAAAACCTAGAATTTAATTGTTAAGTTTCTTCTATAAGTATACTTCCCTATGTAGTTACAAATCAAGATGAAGCATAGTTGGATAGAAGGGCCATGACACATCTTGAACCAACTCAACCTTATCAAACTTCAAGAAGAAAATGCACAAAAAATTATTGATATATTATGTGAGATCATCAGCATGGAATTCTCATTCTGAAATCTTATTGGAGACATTACTTTGCAGCCAAAATAAAATTGAAAGAGAATTTGCTGTTAACAAAATTTTAGAAATTAGAAAAAATGAGGAAATGGGAACTTTAGCTCCTAGAACATAAAAACTTTCTCATTTAAATCTGTATGTAAGCAAATTGATTGAGTTAAAAACATGGGAAGAGGTCTATGAAACCATCTTAACCTGTCAAATGAACATTAATGAGCTAAAAATAATGCTAGGTTGTTCTATCGTAGTTCCGTATATTCCTGTTCACACAAGGAGTTGAGAGGGCAGTTAAAAAAGGTAAAATTAACTTTCCCTAACCTCAATAATACGTAAAAAATGTAAAAAAAAAATAAATACTGCAATCAAAACACTTTTTCAAAAAATTTATTTTATTTAGGCAACTGCAGCTTCTGAAACAGTGTTTGATTTCGAGAGACTGGATGGATTTATCTGTGCAAGAGCTGAAAATACCTTTAAAATAAAATAATACCTTTAAAAGAAAATAGAAAATAGATATAGTAATACCTCGTTTCAACAGCAAAAAGAACCTCATTTAATTTTAGCATTCTCTAGCAGAGTTATAAAGATTGAAAAATACGTTTCATTTTTGCTTGTTAACTTATATAACCCTCATATTTAAAATAAGTATTTCTGAAACCAGATACACTTACATAAGGGGTTAGGGGGTAGCGGTTGGGGAAGGAAGGAGGGCTTGAGAACCACTCTTAATATTTTAAAACTGTTCTATATTTACTGACATTATTAAAAAAAGTTTACAATGTTTTTTTACCTTTTATATAGGATAATCATGAAAATAAAATAATTTTGGTCCCCCTTCCCATTTAAGTTCAATTTTAAAAACTTAAGGTCTAATTTTGCAAATGTTGCCATTATTCATTGATCAACAAAGAAATTCATTTTTTTCAAACTGTATGATTTCTTCAGTCTTTAAAAGCATTTTATATATAGTGTTTTAATATCAGTGAAGAAGTTTTTTTTTAAAGTATCTAAACATTTGTGTCAATAAAGTGAGTAAACAGATTCTGAAAATTTTATTTTTTCAACTTAAAATACTTTGTTTTTTTCCATTTAAGATCTTAATAAACAGATGGAAATGATAGAGTTTGATTTTTAAACTCAAATTTATTAATACCTGCAGATTTTTTTACAGACTGCAATGCAATTTTAACACTAGTTAAGCTTGTTCTTTTTATTTCTTTCAAGGCAATGGTCCTGGTTATATATATGGAAATACTGGTTCATTTCGTATCGATGTTCCAGCAAGCTTATATGATGATATACAAAATTTTGATCTTTATATAACAATTGCGTATTTCTTTCAAATTGGACCATACTGTGAGATTTATTTTTATTTTTATTATTTTCATATTTTTTTGCTTTTATATTACATTTATATATTTTTATAATTTTATAAATTTTATATAATTGATTTTCTGAATGATTTTAATTTTCTGATTTAGGTTGTTTCAATTGTTAAATTTTATTTTTTCATATATCAAAATATTATTGTCTTCATTTTTGCTCTATGTTTTTAGTCTTTTCATCATCCTTTGACTCATATTTATCATTCATGTTTTCTCCATCCTCATGATCATCATCATCCATCATCCATTCATGTTTTCTTCATCCTTTTTCTCACTGTTATTTTTTATATTTTCCTCATCTTTTGTCTCATACTTGCTTTTAAATTTTTTTTATTGTTTTTTTATATAATTTAGCCTTGTTGTGTTGAGATTAAACTCTGTTATATTTTAGTAATTATCTCCTTGTATAATTTACTCTGTTATATTCAAGTAATTATTTCTTCATAATTATCTCTGTTTTATTCTAGTGATTATCTCAGCTTTACATATAGTTTTAATAGTTAAAAATAGTTTTAGCTTATATGCTACATGTCTTTAATGTTAGATATATCAAAAAAGATATGTCGCATGTTACCTCTCCACAAATAGGATTGGTTTATATTTTTATACTTAACTATTTGTAATCTTGCAAGACATTTAAACCTATGTTGTATTGTATTGCTCTGAAGCAATACTATGCAATACAGAGAGCTCTTTTTATATCTAACACTATTGTCATTGAAAAAATAGCCTCCTTTTGTCCAGCCAAACCAAATATTTAACCTGAAATAAATATTTTGCCACAAATAGTTTATTGGTTTAAATCAAACTTGAAATATTTGATATCTCATGAAATTCATGCTTAACATAATATTTATAAAAATCAATTAACACCCTATAAATAAAAGTTGAAAATATTATTTAAATATTGAAAATAAAATGGTCAAAGTAAAGGACCTCGAAAAAATGATAGAAATTTTTTTCCAAAAAAATCAATAAAAAGGTAAAGCGTTTGTTGCTGAGCAGTTTATGGAATTTTTTTTTCAGTTTTGAAGTTTTAATCCTCACAAACTGCATTGCAAATGTAGATAATGATTGAGTGCTAATTGTGAGCTTTTGTACTAAAATTTTATAACTTCTCTCTTTTTATAGATTTTGGAGTGGCAAATACTGGCAGAATTTTTTACAATTCTTCAAGTATAATTACAAATAACTCCTATTCAGTTAATTGGGTTGTATTAAATGCAAGATATCCTCATACTTCACCTGGTTTTAATGTAAGTTGTTTTTATTTTCTGAAATTTGTTATTGGAAGTGTGCAAAAATATAAAATTGATTTGATAGTTTTAGCATAACATTAATGGTCAAGATTGCCCTTTTTCAAAAAATTGAAATATATTTATAAAACATTTCTAATTTATTTTCTTAATTATAAAACAATTTTAGTATTTTTGTACTTTTAAATTTTTACCAGAAACTTTTTGCAGACATATATATCATATAAATCAGGGATCCCACTCCTCCTTAAAAACCTTAAATATCCTTAAAAAAAATTTTCTGGTGCAGAGCAAACAATTTGTTTTTTGTATAGCATTTCTCATTTTCAAATATGCAACTCATTTTTACCATCACGCAAATTGTAAACATATTTAAGTTCAAATCTTTAGTATTTGGTTTAAAATCTCTAATATTGTTTTAAAAAATATTTCAACCTGTGTCTCAAAAGAAGTGTATTTTTATCAAGATTTTAGAAAACATAAACTGTTGACTTGTGTTATATTTATTAATGAAAAAAATATATACAGTTCTTTGATAGTTTCCAAACCTATATTTTTATTATATATATATATATATATATATATATATATATATATATATATATATATATATATATATATATATATATATATATATATATATATATATATATATATATATATATATATATATATATATATATATATATATATATATATATATATTTATATATATATATATATTTATATATATATATATTTATATATATATATATATATATATATATATATTATATATATATATATAGCTTTTATATATATACAGCTTTAGCTCTTACCCACACTCCCCTAAAATGGTTTACAGGAGCAATTTACGGCTCTCGCAAAAGTATAATTTTTTACACAAAATGTATAATTATCGTTGTTATCAAAATAAAAAGCACAACGTCATTTATAAAAAAACTAATTGCATAATATACTGCAATGCTTTTTAAAAAGCACCGTTGTTGCAAAAAAAATTATAGTTAAAAAGAGCGTTGATTTATATGAGGAACAACTCGCACAGCTCCCCAAGTTTGTTTTAGGAGAGCTTTTCCTGCTCTCGTGTTCATTTATTCCCATTAAGACCTGTGTATATATATATATATATATATATATATATATATATATATATATATATATATATATATATATATATATATATATATATATATATATGTATGTATATATATATGTATGTATGTATGTATGTATGTATGTATGTAAAATGAATAGTTTTATAAAGCTAAATTAAATAATATCATCATTTTTTTAGTTTTTTTGAACTTTATCTAACAGTAATTGAACATTAGGGTGTTTTATTCACAACAATTTTCTAAAATGGTTATGTTACTTGCATAACGGAGTAATTATTGGCAGAAAACAAGTTTTTAAGTTTTTCTAATATTTAAAATGTCAGAGGTTTTAATTTTGATCAATGAAAATCAAAATAGCATTTTTAATACTTTTTTCAACTTTAAATAAGTTAAATTTAAATAACTTAAAAATAATTTTTTTTTATGTTATGTTACTTGGTGTATATATTAAAGGTTATCAGATAAACATTTGGTCAAATTTTCAGAAAAAATTAGTGAATGTCTAGAGGTCATTGTTTAGAAGTTGCTGTATTGAAATATAAAGCTACAAAAATTTTTTTTTTAAAAAAATCTTAATAAAAATGTAGTTAAAATTCAATCAGGCTTTTTTAGGCTTTAGTTTTTACCTAAAACCATAAAAAATACTATATAGTATTAATTAGTTTTAATTTCAATTAAGATGGATTTTGCTTTCTGTGTTTTTCAATAACTTGTAAAATAAATTGGTATTGCTCTTTGTTATTTGCATATTCCCAGAATTTACCATTAAGTTGGATTCCTCTTTTGGTACAATCATTAAGTTGGATTCCTCTTTTGGTACAATCATTAAGTTGGATTCCTCTTTTGGCATCATTCATTAATCTTTTGGCATCAATCATTCATTACTTCTAAAAGCTCTTGATTATTAATCCTAATAAATCAAAAAGAAGTTTGTGACCCAATTAAAAATAAAAAAAGCTTGAAAAATTTAATGTCTGAAAATTAAAAAAGTTTTTGGTCTTGCAGAAGAAAATTTTTTTTTTCCATCATTGTTTAAAATATCATTTTTCATAAAATAACGATAAAATAACAAGCTCTTCAGTTAAATACAAAAGGTTTTATTTAACCGATGAAGTTACAGCAATTGCAATATCTAAATCCTTGTCTTGATGCCGGTTCATTGCAACAAAAAAATAGAATGTGCCATAAATCTTGCATTGTGAATTGCATCTGGTTTGTAAATTTTGAATATTCTGTACACTGATAGTTATCTCCACTGATAGTTATAAGTAGATAAGAATTTCAATTAACTTAAGATAGTCTTCTTGCAGAAATGTTTTCTTGTTGAAGCATTGGTAAGCCCAATTCAGAATTATGTTTGATTAATTAAATATTTAATAATATAAAATATTAAATTAATGAAATATTTAATTAATCAAAAAAAGTAAAGTTTAAGATCTGGGCTCTTTATCTTCTCTTTCTTGACTTTCTCCCCATAATGCGGTCAATGCGACATGCTTGACAAAGTAAAGGTTTCTTTGTCTCAATTTTGATTAAAGTTACTGCTCCTTTTTTATTACATGTGTTGCTGACTGTTGTATCAAAGCATATACCAACAATGCTTTACAAACATTGTTGATATATTTTGACTTGACTATTCAATTTTCTTTATGTTTTTCCCCAAATATTTTGTATTTATGTTCACCATTTTCCTAAACAATTTTGTATTTATATTCACCATTTTCCCCCAAAATTTTGTATTAATACTTTTAGCAACCAAAAGAATTTTGTCATGAGCTATTGACAGTTGCAAGATCAATGCAGTTTTTCTTACTTAACCTTTTTAAGATGATGGGGCTTGTTGTTTCAAACACAAATGTTTTGATCTAAAACAAACATTAGATTCTTTATAATTTGCTGCTTTATTGTTTAACAGTGACAAAGATATCTTTTATTAGAGTATTATTAGAATTTCAATGGGTATTTGGAACACTATGAGACATCGGAACACCAAAAAATGTTGGTTTTTCATTCGGCTTTTTATGAAAAAACAATGATCCATAAATTTCTATGTTATCCCTATATCAATAGAAATACCATCATTCAATGTTTTCTCATAACACAACGCAGTGTTATATTCATTATAGAATCCTTTGATTTTTTGGAAATCCTATGTTATATTAGCATATAAACACCATGCAAAGCCATAATGCATCAGTTTTATCACATGTTTGATGATATTTTACAGACTTGTTTTTGATGCAATTTTTATATTAAATAAACTGCTGAAGTCAAACTATTGATTTTAAAAGAATTGACAAGATTTCTATCATGTTTGGTTTATGTATCTTATTTCATGATATATCAAGAAAATGCAATGTTTTAGTATTATTATCATTATGCATGAAACTAAAGTTTGACTTTTAACATTGTTTAATGTAAATATTACAAATTCATTAAAAACCAATCAAATCAATTCATTAAAAATATCTGCATCAAATGCAAGTACCATATTTCCATTAATATACATGCTTAACATCTAGAAATTGTATAAAAACATCTTCGATGAACAATCAAAAACAATAATTTGAAACCAAAACTATGGAATTGCCAAAAGTATAACAATTTGCATATTAATATTTGTAATTAAATGCTGAATAAAGTAACAATATATACTATTGGGCACTCAAAGTATTGTAGGAAACAATTAAAGATAATTTATAACACATTACACAATAAACACTACTGAAAATATATCAAATATCACAGCTAAATATTACTATTGGATATATATTGTTCTGATGCATTTTCATCTTTTAACGTCTTTTAGTAATTAGTTTTTATTATTCCATGAGATACTTCATGAGACTTTTTAACTATTGATTATTCAATTAAGATCTATTCTATCTAATAAGATTTATCCTATTCTAATCTATTTTCAGATCCTGGGAAATTTAACATAACACATGAATAAATATTGCACAGTTACATCAAAACTACGCCATTTGAAAACTGTGGTGAACAATAAATGTTTACAAATGGCATTAAAAAAAGCTTATTGGACCTAGGGCCACTAATTTTTAAACCCGTCTACATTACTTTTATAGTTTAAACCAAAAGACTTACATTAATGCAAAGTAATTAATATAGAGATGTGATCATATCAGTTTCACCATTTTTAGACAACTCTGAATTTAAGCATTGAAAAAATTGATGAATCATTTCTTTCTATCTGCAGTAATAAAATTATCTTTTAAGGATAACAATCCTCTCCATTTCTTCTTCTTCTTCTTCTTCTTCTTCTTCTTCTTCTTCTTCTTCTTCTTCTTCTTCTTCTTCTTCTTCTTCTTCTTCTTCTTCTTCTTCTGGTCTTCTCATCTATATTTAATCATCCTGACCATCTTGCATCTAAATTGGTTCTATTTACTGAAGACACAACTATATTTTCTAATCTTGTCAAATATTCATCGCTTTTTAATTACTCTCCTGAGTGTGATCATCTTTTTAAATACTTAGAACAGCTGATCCTGAGTGTTATCATCTTCTCTGCAAAAGTTTTGGGCTTGAAATGGCTGGTGAATTTTGTTCTAAACAAAACCCATTTTATACTGTTAATAATTTAATGTTTTTGATTTTTCTATATTAGTGAATAGTTGATTTTTCTATATCAATGAATAACTATGAATATATTATTTATAGTACTATGATTATTTATAATACTACAATTATTTATAATGCTGTATATACTATGATATGAATACTTTAACTGAGTCCTTTACTTTATGTATTCTTGTTTTATCATTCAACTTTAATGACCTTTAATAGAAATTATATATACAAGTAATTGCAAAGTTAGCATTTGCTAAAGTTGCCTCTTTTATTCCATTCTCTATTCCATTCCCTACCTATATAAATCTTTTATTTGTCCCTGTATGTGACACTGTTGTTATATTTGTACTGGTTTTTCTAAGAATGGCCTTTCTCTTCTAAGCAAGGTCCAAAAATCTTAAATGTGTTATACTTGTTCCAACTGCCAAATTTGAGCCTCTGTTTCATTGCCATAAAAAAGAAACCTTTTACTGTACCTGTCCCTTTATGTTCTAAAAACTTTTACTCATCTTGTTTTTTTTCTTTGCACATCAATGTTTTGAAATTATTTCCTGTCTTTCTGTTTTCTTTGCATATCAATGCTTTAGAATTTTCTCATATCTTCATGTTTTCTTGGCTCAAATTATTTACAGTTTTTGAAGTCTTCTGTCAATCATTTTCTTATTCTTTAAGAATGCTTTTTACCTGTCTTGTTGGCAGTAAATTAGTTTTAAAAAAAATAGTCTGTTTCTTAATAAAGTTTATTAAAATAAAATTTATATATATATATATATATATATATATATATATATATATATATATATATATATATATATATATATATATATATATATATATATATATATATATATATATATATATATATATATATATATTTTAAGTTTATATATAAAATATATATATATGCATTACTTTATTTAAAGTTTTTTATATTATTATTTTTAAGTTTATTACAGCCAATTGTGAATTAAGATAAATTATTCTAAATTTATTATATTTCATTGTTTCACTTAAACAGTTTTTTGCTGTAATTTTTTTTAAGTTGTTAAGATGCTCCAAGAAGACCTACTGATCTTGTCGCAATTCAAATAACAAATTAGTGTTATAAATTATTTATTAATAAAAAGGTCATATAACAGTTCAAATATTAAGTTATGTATATAGTTGTAATAAAATATTAAAGTATAAAATATATTTTTAAAATGTTACAAAATAATCTTGTCTTTGTCAAAATAATTTGTCAAAAAAATAACAAAAACAAAAAAGTTCAAAAAAAATTATCATGGACCTTGAGGTTATTTTGCTTCTGCCAGCTGTAAACTGGTGTTTTAAAAACATACATAATATTAATTAGTTCAGTACCTTATGTAAATTAATGAGAGACTGTTGTTTGTCTGCTCTTTAGAAAATTAGTTACATGTTTTGCAAAGACACCAATAAAGTCACTTTTCTTCTAAGTCTTTTATTATTATTACCTAACTATTATCATATTATTATCTGACTGCAAACTAAACTATTTACAGTATAAACTCTTTATATATATTTCACAACCATTATTCACTAGCGGATTGAAAAACATTTTTCACAGCACACATGTAAAGTCATTATTTCAATGGAGTAATTCCTTCAAATAAATTGGTAGACCCAGATTAACTACTAAGGGCACTTATGCAATGATTAAAATAGAGTGATAAAACATTCCCAATGTTATGCTATATACAGCTGATTTAAAATTCTTTTTAAATTATTTTGTGTTTATATTTAGTTTAATCTTTATGGAAATGGTGAATTCATAAGATTTGACGATATCTGCATTTATCAAGGTGATTTATAATTTAAAGATATATTATATTTAATGGTATCAATGATGTATAAATATTTAAATTTCGCTTTTTTTTAAGGTTTATATACTTTTTTTTTTTATATTAAATAAAAAAATAGTTTTTACAAAATTTTATGACTGAGCTGATAGCAAGAATGTGTGCATCCAGAAGATGCCTTGAACTTTTTATTCTGTAATAGTGTTTTTTCAATTTGAGGGTGATTATGTTAAATTTATGTTTTATTATGAAGAAAATTTAACAAATTATACACTTTTAATGTTTTAGGTAAACAAATTATACACTTTTGTTGTTTTAGGTAAACAAATAAGTTGTTTTAGGTAAACAAATATGTTGTTTTAGGTAAACAAATAAGTTGTTTTAGGTAAACAAATAAGTTGTTTTAGGTAAACAAATAAGTTGTTTTAGGTAAACAAATAAGTTGTTTTAGGTAAACAAATAAGTTGTTTTAGGTAAACAAATAAGTTGTTTTAGGTAAACAAAGAAGTTGTTTTAGGTAAACAAATAAGTTGTTTTAGGTAAACAAATAAGTTGTTTTAGGTAAACAAATAAGTTGTTTTAGGTAAACAAATAAGTTATTTTAGGTAAACAAATAAGTTGTTTTAGGTAAACAAAATCTTTAAGGTAAACACATAAAAATTTTTAGGTAAACAAATAAGTTGTTTTAGGTAAACAAATAAGTTGTTTTAGGTAAACAAAATCTTTAAAGTAAACAAATAAGTTGTTTTAGGTAAAAAAAATAAGTTATTTTTAGTCAAATCTATTAAAGTATATTTTTTCAGAATATTTTAAATATGTATTTTAAGTTAAATTTTACTGAAATTAAATATATGAACTTTGTTAATTGAAAAAAAAAGCTCTTTGATAAAGATTTTTTTTAACTTAGGTGCATTTGTAGGTGCATTTTAGTAATAAGACATAATAGGCTCCAGGGGGAAATTCTAGTCTCCATGGGGAAATTCCAGTCTCCAGGAGGAAATTAAGTATTAGTGAGTCATGATGATCTGAAGGACTCTTTTATTTATAATAAATGTTATAATTTTATATTATATTATAATTTCTATCTCTTATAAATCTTTATTATATTTAAATGTAAAATATAAAAGAAAATATCCTTAACTGAAGTTTATAAAAAATTAAAACCAGAGGTTTATGAAAAAAAATCTAAATAACTCAGAGATTTATACTTTTTTTATTCCTTAGCAAGTGAACTAATTTTAAATATGATTAAATCATGTTAGTATAATGAAAACAATACTTTCTCAGTAAAAAAATCCCAGGTGACATTCCATCAAATCTAAAAGCTTTTTGATCCATAGTGGCGTAAAAAAGGCAAAAACTAAATTTAAAAAAACAAAACTAAAAAAATTACCCCCAAAAATTATATATTTGCTAACCTTATGTCAATGTTGGTTGTAAGCACAAACTTCCGTCGCTAGTTCCACAATAAGTTGTGAAATTTATTAAAATGAGTGCCTTAAAAAGCCTTTATCGCCACTGTGGAATGCTCACAACGGTAATGCATTTTTTAATTAAACACAAAAAATATATATAAGTGCAAAAGATTTTGCAAGGAAAATTTTTTTTGCAATTTATTTTTGTAATTCTATTTTCTTTTTCAAAATATGTTATGTCTAAACATATTTTAAATTGGCAACCATTTTAAACACAAACAGTTGGCGGGTTTCAACTATTGATACATTTGCAACTGTCATATGTAAACAAACATGTGTGATTCTAGTTTTTGTATAACTCATTTCAGACATTTTATTTAGTTTTGTGAATTTTCACTATGAAAAGTTTATATCTACAGTAAAAACTTAAACAATAATAAATTGAATTAAAGAAGAGTTACAATCAATTAAAACATTTTAAAAAACTATAATTTTTTATAAAATGAAATAAATTTTTTTATTCCAATCATGGCAGTATTTGCAGTATTTATACATAACTCTTTTAGTAGATTTATATTCTAAACTTATGTTTATTGTTTTGGTAGTAAAACATTCTGTTGTTAATTGCCTTAAATATGTTAAAATTTTTTTTCGCTGCATACAAAGCAATATCATCAACTTTCGAGGGTTTTGTTTTGGTTTAAAAGAAGTTTTTAACAATAGTTTTTTACTAAAAACATTAGTCTTTACAGTAATCATATAATGTATTTAGTATGTACAGAATATTGAACATACTGAGTAATAAACTTATAAATCATATGATAAAAATTTTAAGTTGAAATCCCTTCCAACATATTGTTAAAGTTTTTTCTGATTGCTGAAATATAGGTTATTAAATTTGATTTTAAAATTTCTGCATAGAAAGAAAATATAGAATGGATGATTTGTAAAGGTATGTAATTTCTAATGATACAATAATAAGTGGTCAAAACATTTTTTGTTTAGTTAAAAATTGTAAAATTAGTTAAGCTAAAATGATCCGAAATATATTTTGATGATTTAGTCACCAGTTTCAGTTGATAATCCTTCCATTGCCAACCAAAAAGAAAATGCCTTCTATTACCATCACCAATCATAAAGAAAGGACCTTCTATTACCATCACCAATCAAGAAGAAGGATTTTTAAGAATGTTGGATGTTTAGACTTAGTCAACACTTTAGCATATGAATAAGTAAAAGCTAAAACATTATAAATAGTTGCTGCCATTGTAAAGTCTAAAAATAAGATGCATATTTTTTATAAGTCCTGGAAAGATGGTTTTATTTTGTTTATGAATTGTGTAAAGCATTCTGTTTCTTTTTAAAATATAACATCTTTTTGTTTAATGATATAATTTACCTTTATTAGATTGAATTTATGGAGTTTATTTAAATATAAATATATTTAAAATGGTTTTTAAATACTTTTTTTGAAGTCATTGAAACAATTTTAAACCAATTTTCTTAAAAACAGATTGCAAGCTTAGTTTAGACCAAATTTCTCAGCTAAATTGGTCTTGAGTTATGAAAGTAAAAATGCTGTTATATATAATGTTATATAGTGTAAACTCATATATTTATATATTGTTATATAGTATTATGATTTTTTTTAAATTAGTGGCGATTGTGGCGAGTTTTTGAAAGTTCATGTTACTTGGTGCATATAAATTCATGTTATAAAATTAAAGATAAATAAAGTTTTCTGAATAATTTCAAAGTTCATAGTGTTTTAAAAGTTCATAGTGTTCATAGTGTTCAAAGTTCATAGTGTTCTGAATCATTTCAAGTTCATAGTGTTTTAACACAGCCACAATTTTTTGGTTGATATAAAGATATTGCTAATACTTGCTTATATTTTAAGATTAATGGAACAAAATTAAAATCCAGACATACTGAACATTTATTGTAACTTTGCAATATTTATATAAATATTTCAAACCATAGTTGCATTTAATTTTGAAAAATAACTTTTTTTTTTAGTCTGTAAAACTGGTTTTTTATTCAATAGTTCATCAAATCTATGTGAAGGTAAACATTGAGATTTTTTTTTATGAAATAAAAAAAGAAAAAAATTTGTATTGTTAATATTGTTTTTGATTTTCGATTGAAATAAGAAAAGATCTAATCTACCATAACAAAATCTGTGTTGACAAATTCATTTTAATAAAATCAACAATGGTTAAAAATAATAAATAAAAAGCAGCAAGAATACCCATGACAACATAATCTTATATGCAAAAGTTCCCCATGAAATTAATGCTGCATTAAAGGTCCCCATAATATAGTATAAAACAACTATAATCATATAAACAATAATCATATAAAAATCATATATAATATAAATATAAGAATCATATATATTGTATCTATCATATATAATATAAATATAAGAATTGTATATACTATAAATGTAATATAAAAATTATATAATAATCATAAGAATCATAATATTGTCATTAGACGTTAGCGTGATTGACAATAATTATATTAATTTAGATAATTCAGTAAAATCCTGGTAATGTATCATAATATTAGTAAGTATTTGTTCTTAGACTTAAATGAATGTGCTTTATCAAGTACAAACAATTGCACAGCTAATGCTAGCTGTAATAACTTTGTTGGTGGATACAATTGTACATGTAAAAGTGGTTTCAATGCAAGTAATGGTGGAATAGAATTGCTATCTAATCTTTGTTTAGGTATTAACTTAAATTACCTTATTTTTTAGTGCAATAATTTATATTTAATAAAATCTACTTTAATAATAGATTTGCATTATTCAACCTAGTTGTTTATATTATAAACTTTTTTAAACTTTTAAATCCTTTTTGTATGTAGCTTTTGCATTTTTAAGATCTGTTTTGAAAACTTTTTTCTCAATAGTCCCTAATTCCAATATAAATTCTTTGAAATCTTTTTTTTTATATAAATATAGTTATATTTATTATTTGATTATATATATGTATATATATATATATATATATATATATATATATATATATATATATATATATATATATATATATATATAGATATATATATGTATAAATATATATATATATATATACAAATATAAATATATATATATATGTATAAATATATATATATATATATATATATTTATATATATATATATATATATATATATATATATATATATATATATATATACATATATATATATATATATATATATATATATATATATATATATATATATATTTATATTAAAGTTATAAAAATTTTTTTTTTCGATTTCATCTTTATTACTAATTTTGATATCTTAATTAAATATTATTTTTCATTTTTACTTCGGTTGATGGACATGGATGAATGTTTTTTATCTAAAAAAACAACTCCTTTTAATGCTGTATGTAACAATTAAGTTCCAACAACCTTGTAAGTCTATTCTCTGGTTTGAAAAAGGTAAGTATATAAGTGAGTGAAAAAAGTAAGAATATAAGAGAATTTGCTAAAAATTAGTATCTAAGTGAGGTTCTAATTTGCTGAAAGTTATTATCTAAGTTTCTGATTATTGAACATTAATATCTAAATGAGTTTCTGATTTGCTGAAGGTTAGTCTTTAAATGAATTTCTAATTTACTGAAAATTAGTATCCAATTGAGTTTCTGAATTGCTGAATGTTAGTATCTAAGTGATTTTCTGATTTACTTAACCTTAGTATCTAAGTGAGTTTGTGATTTGGAAGTTAGTATCTAAGTGGTTTTTAAGTTGAGAATTTCATTTCCATAGAAAAAGTATAAAAAAATGTTTTTAGTTATGATGTTAACAGTGAAATTTTATTGAACCCTTCTTTTATGCTATGTAAGCCAACTAAATATAAACAAACCAAAATACTTTACAATTAACATTACATGTATATTTAACTATAATAAAATAAAATATTACTAAATTATTTATTAATAGTTGGAATTCTCAAATAATTGTCTTACTTGATAAAAAGTTACAACATAAAATAAACAAATATAATAATAATATATAACATTAAAATTAAATTGATATAATTGCTAAAAATAATATTATATCTTTAATAAAATTTAAAAGTGGTATATTTATTAAAATAAGTTTAACTGATTGACTTAAATTTAAACAATCTTATTCATAACCATTTTTCAGATTTCTTTTTCAAAATTCTTTTTCAAATCTGAATAAAATTTTTATTTAAAACCTTTACTTTCAAATATTCAATGATTTTTAACTCAGTAAAGGCTAGAGATGGTCTCTCGATAAAAATACTTGTCTGAGGCAGATGTTAAACCCAACTGGCTAATGTCATGTATAATAGGGTGTCCCAAAAGAAAAAATTTGGAAGAAAAAGATGTGCACTGTCTAGAACTTGGTTACTAGGTGTATTATGACCAAATACATTAGAATTTTTAAATTTAAACGGTTACAAGTGCTTGGTGTAAAACTTCAAATTTTTGATTTTTTCCAATTTTTACGATAAAACTTGTAAATATTAGAAAAATAATCATGTTAAACATTTATTATAATAAAGTTTATTTTTAATGTATGTTGCATATGCTGAAGAGTCGTAGAAAGAAAGGTTGAACAAATATCATAAGCACTTCAAATCTGATTTAGCTGGGTTTTAGTCAGATTAGTTTTCAACGTTTTTCTATGGTTTTTTGCAACCAACAAGACATTCTGCTTCGTATGTTCATTTCGGTATGACATAATAAAGTCTTGGATTAGTTTTATATTTCTTTCTGCACAATCGTTGGTGACTTCCATATTTTTAACAAAAAATTTAAAGTTGTCTAGAACAGTAAAGTCCCCTTGTGCAGCTAACTCAAACTGGTCATGGGTAACCTGGGTTAGGCAAAACAAATTTTAGCTCTGGTCACCAACTAAATTTGATAGTGTTGTAGGGGGTGTGATTATAGGCACTTTAGGCTTACCTTTTATAAAAGGTTTTGGAGTATTTTCTCTTCTCGACTTTTTCTGCATCATCATCCACTAAAGCCATTACAACTAGCTGCTGACTTAAATACCAGGTATGATTTTGCATGCTTTTCAGTATTGGTTGAGAAAACTGAGGTAGTAAACAAACAACTGACAAAGATTTTTGTAGTCTCCTCTCTTGAAAATATTTTCATTTAGCACAGTTTCTCCAAACTTTAATGCTGTCTTGGCTCTATTATAAATAGGTGATCCAATCTCTAAAGAAGTCTAGTTAAATTTAACCAGATTTAATGATGATGTGTCTATTTTGTCAACAATTTTTGACCAAACCTTCTGTAAGCGAACATAAATTTCTCTTCTGGGAGACTTGGTATCGACGCCAGTCAGAGCAGTCATAAAATGTTTAATATGTACTTCAATAATATGGCGATGACAAGACTTGTATTAAGGATAGTTAATAGAATTGTAACTGCTCCCACAAATTTTCCAGTGTTGGATGCAGTTGTGTTGCAGCAAACACCAATAATATTGTCGACAATATCGTGGTATTCCAAGAGATTGAGGATTAAATGTGCCTGCTCTGACCCAATTGAATTTTCTGCCTGTACTATGCCAAGCAAAAAATCATCTCTACATTCCAAATCTGCACTGGTTACACTAACTGCAATTCTTTCACATGTAACTGTCAGATCAGTTTCCTCTTCCAGCTGTCTAACAAGTTTCCCATCAAAATGAACTATAAGTTTTTTTCCTTTTAAAACATGAACAACATCCTGCGTTAGTGTTTCAATTAAATTATACATTTAGAATAATAAAGATAACAAAACAAATAAACTTAATCATTTTTGTGAATAATAGTTACCAAGAATTTCAATAATTCTTTTTCTATGTAGAGTAGATCTCGATAAATTAATCAACACCTTCAAAGCTTTATTGTCAACACCTGCTTTATTACAGATAGAAGAAATTATAGCAGTCTGGGGCCTAACACCAATTTTATACCGAATGCTAACAGCAGAAGTAGTTTCAATTAGTTCATCAGGTGTTAATTCTAAAATTATTTTTGATTTTTTTGATTTAGATACATCATATTCAGAATCATCACTTTCTTCACATAAAAGAGAACTTTCAAATGGGCTAACAATGTTATGAATTGTCTTGTCTGTTGACTTCTGCAACCTCTTAAATGTTTCCACAGTCCTTTTTTCTTTTTGAGCCTTTGAGTTTTTCTGATCATTCAACAGTTTAACTCTTTCAAATCTCTCCTTTCTTTGCAGAGCCCTAGTTTCAAATTCTTTATCTTGCTGTGCAGTCATGGTCATATTCCTTTTAGATTGCTGGTCTTCGTAGAAGGCTACATCTTCTTTCTTTGCCTCTTCTGTTTTTCTATGATCTTTCATTAACATGTCAATTATTTGAGGAGCAGATATATCAAATAAGGTATCAATCTCCACCTGGAAATCTACTTGCTTTTTAGTCCAGATTCCTTTGCTTGAACACCAGTTTAGTTTACTCCATCCTTTCATTTTGTTATATTTCTCTGTGAGTTTTAGGATCCTTTCACTGAAAAATATTAAATAGCTGAAGTTACTAAAAACAAGATAAATCTATAATAATTTTTGTTGTTGTAAAATTTACCTAACAGATCTTCCACTAATAATGTTGCACGCAAAACCAGCTTTTATCCAGATGTCAGTAACAGCTGAAGTTACACATCTATTGGTTGATATTTCACATGCTCTATACTAGCAAACTAGACTTCTGCTTCCTGTTCTTGTTGGACAGGCAATAATTTATTTGCTGGACTGAAATCTGGTGCTCCTATATAAGAGAATCAACTGAAATATATATTTATATTCATGAATTGTGGGTTAAGTAAATAAATTAGATAAAAACTACATAATAAAACAACCTTGAAAATTTCAAAAAGTGAAAGTATTGCAAGATATTTTTGATACTGGGCAGGTGGTTGCCTGGAAGCTCATTTATGGGATATTTTAATAGATACAGAGATCGTCTTAAACTGCTTTGAACAGTTTACTTTTCTTTTTCCTGTGGTTCTATTTCGCTGGATTTTTTTACTGTTTGACCCATTTTTTAAAATATATTTAATTATGAAACTAAAAATAATGAAACAATTTTATATCACATGTATTTTAAACTAATCAAAAGTTAATAAGTAAAAAATAGTGGTAACCAATAAAATACCAATATTCAAGAAAAAAAATTGAAATATATTGTTAAGTATAAGTAAAAGATGACTAATTTAAAAAATAATAGATAAATAATGCTACTTTAAAATAAATTTCATCATTTTTTTTATTGCAGGTACATTTAAAATAATAAAAACTAAAAAAATATGACAAAAATTGACATTTTTCGAAAATTTCAAGTTTTACACCAAGCTCTTACACTTGTCTCAGATCAATATTTTTTTATATATTTCGTCTTTTTACATATAAGAGCCAAGTTTTTAATAGCACACTAAAAAAATTTTTTTTTGGGACACCCTATTGTAGAAAGCCGCTTAGGCAAAGACTTAAGGGGTAAACAGATTCTATCTGTTGACCAGCCCTGTACCCCTTATTCGTCTATTAGGCTGGTGCAGATGTATTCATAATTCATTGTTTCCAATTTAGGATATTAAATGTTGGATCTTCTTGATTCAATGCATAGATTTTGCTTGTGTGTCTGTTTTATGACTAGGCAATTCATTCTCTTATCTCCTAATGAGGGTACAGCTCTAAATCTCAGTTTTATGGTTATGAGGCCA